CCCAGAACTATGGCCATGGCCACCCTTGCCCCCCCATCTAGCTCCGCCCCTGGTTATGTGACTAATGAGCAAAAAGCAGTGATCATCTGTCCGAACGGTCAGTTAACTAAGATCACTATAAAGTCCACTACATAGTCTCCGCTCCTTAAAGTGATTGAGGGATCTAGGGGTTAATGCAGACCTTCAGACATAGTAAACTTGTATGAGCTATGTGAACAGCAAGTTTTAAACAGAGCGTGCACGATGCGAAATGGGCTCATGCATGCCTGGAATCTTTTGAAAAAATTGTGAAAATCCTCCAGAATACCTTTAGTGTAAAAAATAAAAAGTTGTGTCTGCTACAAGGAAGAGCCCGTCTACAATTTTTGTTTTACTACTTTATAAGTCTGAGCTTTGGTTGACTGGTTTTTTTATTGCAAATTAATGTTAAATATGAAAAAAAAAATTGTTTAAAAGGGGGGTTAGAATTTGAGAAAATGTGATTAAAATATGAACGAGTAAAGCCTTAAATTTCTCAAGTCTGAATGAAGTCAAAATAAAAGATTGTAGTACCATTTTACGAACAGCAGGGGGAGACAAATCGCATAAGTAGCCGATGGGAGATTTTGCCTTTTTCTAACATAAAGTCGGATCAGATGCAGTAACTGTAAAATATAAATCAGGGACTCTACTATGATCTCAAATAGAGCTTGTAATTTATTAATGCATTCTTCTGTTTCAGCCTCCAATCTGTTAAATGAACAGTGTCGTTACATTTCAGTGTGTTTATTTCTGTAGAATCTGTTCTGAGAGCGAAGTCCGACCTTTAAAAGGGATCTCTGCATATTTCTGCAGGTTTTCCTCCAGCTTCTCATAATCCACGTCTTCCTTGGCGGTGAACGGAGTGGCAATAGGCGGATAAATGCCGCTGAGATCCAGCCTGGAAGCGGCTGCTGTCTGACTCAGGCCTCTTTTCCACGCTCCGTGGTACTCCACGCTGCAGAGGCGGGCCACGCGTGTCCAGGCCCGGACACGGTGCATGGCGGGGCGGTCAGAGTGGATCGGTCTGCTCGCTGCGGGGCTTCCTGTGGGACTGCCTGCAGCTGCTGCTCAGTTAATCTCTAACTGCAATTTAAACATTAGTCAGGAACTTATTTGAAAGTCTAAAAGTTAAGCAGTCAGCATTGAGCCACGTCCCACTGTGGGCGTCATGTGACGGCTGATGGTCCCTAACCTTTGAATCAGGGAACTAACGTGCCGTTTAAAACTACCGCAAACACCTTTAATTATATGTATAAAAAAAGAGCAATAATCAAATGTTGGGGTGTTTGGCTCCGCCCACCTGAGAGAGAACTGCCCTGCAGCCAGATTAGAGCTACAGCCATTAAACAACAGATTAGGGCAGTGCTGTATCTATCGGTGAGCAGAAGCTGAAGTTGCTTAGGGGCCCCCAACTTGTTAGGGGCCCCATCACTGACACCTTCTGGGTCTCCTACCCAATTATGGCCTAGGAGGTCTCTTTGCAAATGTAATGGTACAAAACATTCCTCTGAAACCCAAATGGCAGATTTCATCATGATGGTGAGCCGTTTAAACACAACACCAATAGCAAAGCAGACAGTGATAGTTTTAATTACTATGTTAATAACTGAATAGTTCATTAGACGGTTGGTAAAAAATACACTCATATAATATTTTTCAAACCGCAATAAAGATCTTTGAAAAACATGTATTGGAGTATTTTACTTTTTACACTACCACTTTGATTTATGGGTAATCCAGAGTAGATTAAAACCATAACCGTTGCTTACAATCTGTTAGATACCAAAAAGAGGCACTTAAAGGAATAGTACACCCAAAACATGATTAGCCTTCATTTTCTACTCACCCCCATGCTGAACAACACTCTGGAGTACTTTTTTGA